ATATATTTTTCCACATATTTTTTTTTTTTAAATATTTAATATTTTTATTATATAAGCTTCTTAGAATATTTAAGTATTTATAATTTATACTAAAAGTTGCTTAAGAACTTCTTATTTGTTGTATTTAAATATATTTAATACGCTCCGGAAATTGACTGTAGTTACTAATCAATTATGCATTAATAAATCACGTAAAATCTTCAGAAATCATTGGCCAGCAATTTTATTTTTTAAATCTGATTGGATATTTTTTTTTAAAATGAAGGTGCAAAGAGTACATTCATAGTACGTCCAATATGGGAAAACCTTTTGAAATATAACCATTTCAAAGGCTTTTACCTAATAAAATGATAATTTTTCAAGCAATTTCATTTCAAAAAATTTTAATTTTTTATCAACTAGATAATAACATTTTCTGCTTCTATATATGTACATTATGAATTTTATATGGGAACATGCGTATTGAGGCCAAAATTCTCTGAAGAGATCTTCGTGATAGTCCCAACTGTGTCAAACGTCTCCTTGTTGATGTTCCTGGATTCTCATTTACACTGTTGACTACACGTTTTCCTCCGTTTGGACGGTACGCGGTCTTCCACGAATTTGTACGTTTCTTACTGATCCATTTTCTTCAAAATGTCTTATCAGGCGGTTTATTGTTGCTGCAGAGTGCAGATTCCGCACATTGAAATATCTCCTATATGCTCAACGAGTTAAAGTAACTGACCTGTGATTTTGATAATAAAATTCTATGATTTTTGTTCGCTGCTGCGTTGTGTACTACTCCACTATAAATTTGCCAAGCCTTGTTTACAAGATTCTGAAATAAAAAAAAAATTAATAAATAAAAAAGTTATCAAGAATTCAAAACATATCGTTCTTTTTGCGCCACCCTGTATATAGAATAATTGGAGGAAATATATCTTTTCTATGTTCCAATTTAAAGTCAAAGTAGAAGAAAAAAAAACTGTAATTCAATTACTTATTAACGCAAATCGTACAAACAATGTTGAAAAAAAAAGTAGTATAGAATGAATGGATGTCAATAGCTAAGATTGACATTGAGAGCAAAAATTGTAATAATAAAAAAAAAATCAACATTAACCGACAGTAAGTCACACAGTTTTTTTTTAAATTAAATTTTGTCTCTATTATAAATATAACAGTTGTCATTTTTAACATTTAAAAAAAAATGCGGCGTTGTATTAAAACTTCTTGTAATATTCTTCTGACTGAATGAAGAGAAAATTTAGTATACAAAACGTTATTGTGAAAAAAATGTGCCAAACTACTTGATAATCCGATCTATTTTTCAAAACTATTACATACAGACGATTACGCCTCTGTTTATATTCATTCGCGCACTTTTTGGTGAGTTCATATATCATTTTTAATTTGGGTGGAAATTAAATTTGTTATACAACATTACACTTATTCTTTCATATTTGTTTGTTAGTAGTTTGAAAGATATTCTGAAACACATACGGTATACAAAATATAATTTGTATAAATATTAATAACATAAAAATGAAGAAAAACTTGAATACATTTACGAGAGCCACAAATAAAGAGCCTTGAGTAGACGCATGTGACTTAAAAACAGGATTTCCATTCAAAACAGCATTCCGATTACAAACTGTTCCCAATATTCCGATCTGAAGTTATTAATAGAGTGTTGTATACTGTTAAATAGAACACAATCAAAAAAATTTTGTAAGAAATAAATTTACTATTATTTTTTTGTTATTTTCAATGACACTGTAAATGATAAACTTTCTTTATTCTAAAATGATAATTTCCTTTGTCCATATAAATAAATCGGATATATATATATATATTAGATGCATAAATAAAGAGGATTAAATTAGAAAAAAAAACACAGAAACAAAGAAAATCACTTTATTATTTTTAATTTATTATATATTTGTAATCAATAATATTTTATATGGATATGTAAGAAGAGTTAAAAATACAAGATTAAAATTTGCTAGAAAACGTAATACAGTCGTACAGTCGAATCCGTATATGAACTTAATAAACTTGAATAAGCAACTTGGATAAAAACAAAATTCCGTTATTTGGAAAACTGAAATTACTTTTACAATTTTTTGCACATTTTGTTCCTCGTTTACACACTCATAAGCACATATTGGTTACAAGTAAAAATTTTTTCTTCTTTAAATTTCATCTCAATTCACCATTCAAATATTTGCCTTGGCACAAATTATAAACTCAAATAAAATTATTTTCTCGAAATCTAATTTGTAAAAATTTTCTTTAAAATTTTTGTCAAACTATATTTGCTTATAACTAGAAACAAAATTTTTCGCCTGTAACTGAAAACGTTTATAAGAAAAGTCGATAATTGGATATAGTCGTATACGCTATATCAATGCGTATAAAAGAGTTTTGCTTATATATACGTGTTAGAAATAATCGCGTTCAACTGTAAAAGTAAATGAAAATCGTATAATTTTGAATGTGCTTATAGGCGGGTAGTGTATTGTTTTGTATAATTGTGTATACTCGTATATATTATAAATAACTAGATGTACATAATTCAGGAATCATTCATTATATTACATGTAAATAATAAAATTTTTACCGTTTTATATAATTGAAATCTCTTTTTTAAAAATTACTTTCTCATTTATAGGTTAATAGAATTTTTCATAAATCATATAAGCATAACGTTATACCGTAAATAATAATCATGATTACACACACATATACACATATATACATATATATATATATATATTATAATTTATAATTCATAATCATTCTTTAATACTTCGGCATTTCCATTGTACACACACACACACACATATGAACTTCATAAATCTACTTATTTACGCATTGATAGCTGATTGTATTCGATTGTAAACATTTCGTTATTGGGTCGAATATTGTGTATGACAATAAAAAAAAAAAAAACGAAACAACAAATACGAAAAATAATGAAATATTTGGGTTATTCGGAAGTTTCCAGTCCATATTTTATAATAATAAAATATAAAATATAAATGAATTATAATTTATATATTTTAAGAATATTTTGCCTATATATACATAATATGTACTCGTATATATAAAAATCTTAATAAGGAATTCATTCATGAAAATTTTGTTTTCTTCATTTTTTTTTTTTTGGTTTGTTTTTGGTAAGGCGATGTTTATTCAACTTTTCATATTATAAATAAAAAAAAAAACGATATTATGCTAATATGGGAAAGAATAAGAAATATTAAAAATTTTAATTAATTTTCTAATTTTAAAATTTTTTAAATATTTTTATAAACTCATACTATTATGGTCGTACGCAATTTTTTCATAATTTAACATACAAGCACGTAAGAAGTGGTGGAATTCGAATTTATTGATATTATTTCGTTAAGCATTTCATTACGCGGGATTGGTTCTTAGGAAATAATTTATAGAATAAAATATAATTATTCCTATTCTATTAATTAAATTTTAATTTTATTACTTATTAGATTCAGGGAAACTCTTGAAAAATTCTTATTTTACAATGATAAAATAATCAACTTTACGAAATAAATATTACAATGTAATTTATAAATATCATGACAAATGATCTTTTAATTAATTTTTAAATAAATTTTATCGGCAATATATTAAACATGTCCGCAACTTTAAACATTAAAGATATTTAATTTCTTCTCGTATGATATAACGGTAGCCTATAAAATCTTTTCTATTCTTTAAGTAATAAGGAATTTATTACTCATTTATATTAAGTCCTATGTGTAGTCAATGTTTGGATATTAACTTAAATATTAATAAAAGCCTATTAAATTTTAGACTTTATTTCTTAAAGTTATCCATTTTAAATTATCTATCATGGTACTAAAATGCGTTCTCTGTCATATTTGATTACAATTCTCATTTCCCTAACTTGTATATAAGTATGTTAAATTTGCGTCAAGTTTTCTTAAAATCTCTGTAGCTCGGAAATGAATCCGATTTGATGCTATGTTTCGAACAAAAATTTTACTAATTTTCGGCAATCTACCCAATGGTATATAAGCTCCTAACTTGTTCATGTATTACACTGTGTATGAAATTATTAATTTGACCAGAAGGAACTTTAGAGTAACCTCATATTAGAGTTTTGTTAGCATATTATGAAAATTTTTGAAAAATTTATAAACTTCAAATTTCTAATTTTATTCATATTGTTATAATTATTGTTATACATATACTATCATTATTTATACCTTCCTGTATTTCAAACAAGTTTTAATTGTTTAGTAAAATTATTATACATGCTATTAAAAATTCAGTCTCTTTTACGAATAGGCTTTTCAGTTATCGTTTACAATATTTTGTAAAATTTAATATAAATATATGAATAACAATTCTTTTCTATTCTTCATTTAAATAATATTATTCAAATTTTTATATATAGCTACTGTTATACAAAAAATTTTAATATAATTTTAAAATCTTGATTATAAAAATAGAAAGTTTTTATTTAACAAAAGGAAAATTTTTAACTAAAATTTTTGGTTAATAAAATATTTAAAATCTTAAAGCCATAGAAATTACATACTTAACTATATATAGGTTTTTCTCACGTAACAATTTTTCATACCAAATCATACCAAATCTACGATATACTATAGAGTAGAGAATATTAACAATTTTATAACAGATTTTTCTAACAATTTTTGGTTATTTACAATGTCGCTTTGTGATCTTATAACTACCTAGCTACATATATAAAAATTAATTTTCTCTATATTTTTATAAAATTTTCTACCAAAATAATAAATAAAAACAAAGCATAATAAAATGAAGAATTTCAAATTATAAAAGTGAAAAACCAATTAAGAATTTTATATTTGTACATATGTATAAGATTTTCCATAAAAATACATACATACATACATACAAGCAAGCAAGCAATCTATTTTGATTTGTTTTTTTTTTATTATTATTATTTATTCATTTTTAAAAAAAAAATTTTTTTTTAGGTCGTTCTCTTAATGGGGCATCAACATCATCTTCATCATCACAATCTTCTTCAACATCAACGTCATCATCATCATCATCAGGTCAATGCGGTGGTACACCAGCTAGATTATGTAAAACACGTTATAATACAACAGCACCAATGTATGGTGTCAGTTTGACATCTGGTCAACCAGTAACAATTGTACAAAAATTCCCAGATTTATTACAACAAGTCGTTTTTGAAGTATGCGAGTAAGTATTTTTATGATTGAATGTGCATATATGTATATACATACATATGTATTTATATTATACATATTATAGTATGGTTATACATATGTATGTATGTGTATATTACACATTTAATATGCTCATTAATGTTTATATTATATTTAATAACTCTAAGGAGAAAAACTAAAATATACTGAAAAAATAGGGTAAATATACATGGCATAGTATACATACATATACATTCACCATTTGTGTGTATTTCATTAATATAGTTTAATTAAATAAATTTTTTAACAAGAAAATTTTAATTTAAAAGTAATTTAAAAAAAAAGAAAATTTCTTTTCAAATTTTTAATCAAACAAAACCATTTTTTTTCTATCATTCTGGCCCATTCGTTGTTAAAGGGCGAATGAGACGAAATGTGACAAGATAAGGAATTGATTTGACACAATAATTATAATCACATATAACGTATGTATGTATGTTTTTGATAAATCAAGTCATTTGATATGTTTTAAAATAGATTACAGTAGAGATATGGTAATCAGTCGATTTGCATGATACTACACTCATGCTACTCTTTTAAGAAAACTTAACGAAAAACTTAAAAGTAAAATGGTTCAATCACAAAAATGACATTTTGAGATAAATGCATTTTTAAATTTTCAGAAAAAAATTCATTGTATTCAATTTTATGTTTACAGAACATTCATATTTGACACACATGTATGTATGTATAAATAGTCTTTTATCTTGTAAAATACCTTATAAATGTTTTTTACATAATCTAAAAGAAAATTCACTATTCAGAATCACGGGTTACTTCAATTTCAAAATATTCTATTAAAAGTATTGTCGATTTGCGTCAAACCGTATTTCTAAATAGTTGCATGCAATAATTTGAAAATTGATAATTTGGTGTGTTAGGCTACTTTGCTTCAAAGCGCTTTGATTTTAGAAAAAAAAATAGTATTTTTGTGACCTATAGTACCGACATGTTAAGTAGGGAACTGTATATTTAGTATGTATATGTACAGTACATATGTATGTATGTATGAAGAAATATATTCTGTACGAGTATTTGAAAATAAAAAATTAAGAAAATCTTAAAAAAAAAATTAAGAAGTCCGGTGTGCTAACAATTTTTCGAGACTTAATGACTATAGGTTATCTGAGGAAGCATCAATTTAAAAAGTTCTCCCTTTGGAAATGAAACATAAATATTTCGATATATCTTCTTATATTATTCTTTGTAGAATATATATTCATGCATAGTAACATTATGATATACAACAATGTATATGTATATGGGCAAAAAAAAAAAACAAAAATCATTCATCTTATAATTCATCATTCTTGCTTCTTTGTTTTTTTTTTGTTTTTGAAAAATCGAAACTGAATATTAAATTTGACCTACATTCTTTAGAAATTTAATACGTCATCACAATGTAGATACATATTATGAATGTATCTACATAAATTTTCACGAAAGATTTATTATACATACGGATTTTATTTTCATATGGTATTAAATATACATACATAGATACATATATGTATGGATATGCATTTATATTATATTAACCCTTATATAGGGAAGCCTCCTTATTATACATATGCTATAATAATGCCCTGTAGCTATAACAAAATGACATACATATAGGTTGTGTTCATCAAATATAATACCCTTTTTAATATTAAAATTTCCAATGTACTTAATACATATAAAATTATGTAAATGGAAGTGGTTAGCAAGGCCAGTATACACTCAATATAGTAAGTGCTCTAACATGCCTTTGTATTTTATTTTAAAATATAAAGTCTATGTCATACACATTGTAAGTACCATAATATTTTTAAGTCTAAAAATATAAAATTTTTCTTATCTAACAATAATATATATTAATAATACATAATATATAAATATTATTTATTATTAATTATAAATTAATTTCATGTTAATATTGTTTTTTTTTTTATTTTTTGCAAAATTTATCATTTTAGGTCATCAGAATGTGATGTTGTAAGAGGAGAATGTACACAAACATATGTACCGTATTTATTTTTGGTTATACCATTGGGACCAGTCACATTAACTGGACAAGGTAATTAAATATCATGAAAGGCTCTTATATGAACTAATTTATTGTAAATGATGTCACAATAAATTAAAATGTATATATCCATTTTATATTTTTTTAAATTTGACTTTTTAAAAGAACAAAATATTAAGAAATAGGGCTTTTTCGATAATTCAGTTCTGTACTGAAAGATCTAACTTAGGTTTGTAAAAACTTTTTACGTATACTTACAAACTTCTACAATCTGAATGACATATATTTGCATGTCTGAAATGTCTAAAATTTTTTTTAACAAGCTTTTATTTTGTTGTTGGCAAATTGTCAATTTTATAAAAATAAAAAAAGAAAGATGTCTGAAGAACAAAAAAAATTTCTAAGGAAATATGTTACAGATCAGATAATTGATCTACTTAATGAAAAAATTGAAAAAAGTAATATACGTTTTTATCTGAAAAATAAAAGAAGACGAAAGCATTTGTTACTAACATACATTAAAAAAAACGAAAAGAACCTTGTACCTAAGGTACCCAATTACTTAGAAACAATCAATTTGATGCCGGATACCATATTTTTTGAACATTTCAGGATGGAGCGCGATTGTTTTGTAGTAGTTTGTTTCATCATCAAGTCTGGCTTGTATCAACATTTTTATTTTACATTTATCCCAAAATTTTTAATTTTCTAGCTCTCTATGAAAGAAAAACATAAATTATTAAATGTACAAAACAAAAATTGCATAAATTTACCCATTAATTCTTCAATATCCGACATTTTTCTATTTTACTAATTTTCACTTTTATTGCAGTATTAAAAAAAAATCTTTAAAATTGCCTAAGAACTTAAAGCTCAATCGTATTTTCGAACGAGCTTTTTTTGCACGAGAACATTATCGAACATGCTTACAGATTTTGCAGATTCGATTTATCGAACGTGCTTTACATTCAGAACTAAGTTAGAACTGAATTATCGAAAAAGCCCATAATTAAAATCTCATTAGACTCTATATTTTACGTTCATATTATTTTGTTATGTCTAAAAGCAAGGTTTCTTGAGGGTTCTGGAACTGTTGTCTAATTCCCTTGCGCATACCTCCAGTTTTATACTTAGAACGGGGATATTATAGGCGGTAGCGTCGGAAGGCACAATGAATCTTGAGCCCTAATTGGTTCCCTTGGAATATATCAATCTACCAATCTATGTCCAAAAGTATAAAATCAAATAAACAAAAATTTTTAATAATGCACATTTTCACATACACATGTAATTTGTTCCGTAAATAACTATCTTTACATTACATAATTATATTTTTTACGAATACGCCTTACATACGTGTATATTTTCTGTTATCTTATAAAAATATATTTAAATAAATTGGTTAGATTAACAAACTAAGATATTATAGTTATTATTTAAAAAGTAAAATTAGCAAAAATTTTGTTATCATTATCAATAAATTTTGATTTTAAAATGAATAAGAAAAAAAAACAACATTCCTTCTCTATTTTTCATTATAAAAATACAAAATATTTATTTTAAATTTGAAATTTATAAAGAAAAAAACACCTGAATAAATATTTAATTATTGTATATATTTACCTATAGACAGATTAAAAATTTTGTTAGAATAATGTTGATAAAGAAAGTCTTGATTCGTTATGTTGATGGGTAAAGCGTAGGCCTAATGACAATAACCAACTGTACAAAAGGACGTAGGTTATGATTCAAATATTTTTCATAATTTGGATGTACATATATGTATATAATCTTATAGTTTAATATATCATAAATTGCAACTGAAATTGGTCATAATAATTTTAAAATCATCGATTTTAGTTATTCAATTGGAAATTTTAATTTTTAAAAATTTTACCAATTACATATAAAAATTTTCATAAAATATTTTTTAAAATTTCATTTACACAAAACAAATATTAATTATTAATTTAAAATATGTATTAAATTTTTATATTTTAAGATTACGTTCTTGTTGAAAGCGGATGTGTTTGTAAACCAAAATATTCTACGGGTGCACTTCAGGAACCAAACATTATTCCTTAGTTTATAGTTTAATTTCAATTTTTTTTTTTATAATTACTTTATTTTATATTATTATTTATAATTTCAATTATTTATATACATTATATTAATAACATAAATATAAAATCAAAAAAAAAAAATTTTTTTTTTTTAGTTTAATTTAATTCAAAATAAAATGAAAAAAAAATATAACAATAATATGTATTTAATTTAAAATACTATTATATCATAAATTTAATAAAATTTATTTAAATTTTAAATAAATAGAAAAAAGAAGAAAATTAAAAATGAATGTCACAATATTTAAAATAAATATTAAATAAATATAAATTTTAATGATCATTAATATTTTGATTCCAGTGCATGTCCAATAAATAAAAATGAAAAAGTTTTAATTGCAAAATTATGCATTAAAAAGTTTTTTTTTTTGAAATTGAAAATGTAAAAATTACATAAAAATTATTATACAACAAATATCTCTAATTAAAAAAAATTAAATGTAAAATAATTTAAATTTATATTAAATAAATTTTGTTTTTTTTTTTATTTTCTAGTAATTTTTAGTACATTTTACATTTTATATTAGTAAATTAAGTTTATAAAACAATATCAAACAATATTAAAAAAATTATTTTTTTTTTTAATTCTAATGGCAAACAAAAAAATAATATAATCTTTTATTTTTAAATTTATGGTAAAAAAATTAATACACGCACAATTTATTTCATTTTTATAATTATTAATAATTCATTATTATAATTTTTAATGATTTTTTCATATTAAATTTAAAATCTTATTTAGCATTTTTTTTACTCTTAACCAATAAATATTTCATGAAATTTCATATATTCTATTTATTAATGTACTGTAAATTAATGAAGCCCCAAAATTATATTTAATTTTGCAATATAATTTATAATCAGTTCTATAAAAATGTTCAAATATAAATTATAATTTCAATATTATATAAATTTTTAATAATAAATTTTATTGAAATTAATTTGCAATTATATGTTTTATTTAAATTTCATGTAATTAAATAAATGCAATATTTAAAACTATTTATATTTTTGATATTGTTTTATTTATATCAATTTTGTTTTTAATTAAAAAAGGCATATTAAATCATAAATAGAAAAAGTATACATATTTTTATTATAATAAATAATTAAAGAAATACTCTATTAATATTAAAATTAAATCAATTTAATAATATACAAAATTTTAATAATTATAAAATATGAATAAAAGGTTAAATTTAAAGTAATAAAAAAAAATATATAATATTAATAAATTTAAGTAATTTTAAAATGTTTAAGTAATTTAATGAATTTTTTTTTTTTCTTTTTAATTTGTTTTTTTTTTTTTTTTTTATTTATTATTTATATTGTATTATAGATAATATAATGTTTCAATATAATTATATTATTATGTTTAAAATTTAAGGTTAATAAAAATAAATTCTTATAAAAATTTAATAAAAAAATAAATATGGACCCTGTAAAAATTTTATTGGTTTTTTTTTATTTTTATCATTTTATCATTTTTTTTCATTTAGTTCAAAATGTTTTATGTGAAATATTGGTGATAATTTGTAGTAAATCAATTTAAAAATATATTAAATTTGTTTGAAATTAAAATTATCATGCTGCTTAATTAATATTGACTGGTTAATTCATAAATTAGATCCTAGTATGAAGACACGTTAAACATAATAAACTGAATTTTAAATTACAATTCATCAGTATCTAGATTGTTTATTAATTATAATTATAATCACCTTTAATTTAAAAAAAAAAACATCAAATTGATATATAATTTTTGTTCTACTTGTTTCGTGTTCTTTTGACAATAGTAATAAATTATCAAAAGTATTAAAGAGAAAATAATCAATCATGATTCTACTGAATCCAACAATCTTACATGTGGAAAAGCCATACTTATGATAAAAAATTTTGAAAATTTTAAAACTTTTAGGTTTAAGTATAACAATTTCAGGATTTTGAATCGAATTTTATGCAAAAATTCGCTTCAAAATTTTGCAGCTAAGATTCAAAAATTTTAAATCTTAGCTGCAAGAAAATCTTCGAATAAATGTAACATGTTAATAAAATCTCATGTCGAGCTGACGAAATTATGCAGTTATAAATAAATAGTATTCCTTTCCTCTGACATTATTGCAAAAGCTAGTTGAATTAGTTAGATTTTCATCAAAATATATTGACGCTTTTCGAAAATTCAAATATCCATTTCCAACTAACATTTCAACCATTTTGATATTAAGGACTTGACTTTTTTGAATATTACGAATAGATCGATTGATACTCTATAACGTCTTTGTCTAAAATAAAACAAGCAATTTTTATCATGAAACAAGAAACTTATTACTCTAAAAATATAACCATTTTTCTGCATATATTCAGGCACAGTTTTTTTTTGGATTACTTCTATTATAGTTCTATTTCTCACCTTCAAGCTAGCAATGGCATTTTGTACCCCCAATCTCTTATTTTTTAAGTACTTTTATTGATAAAAAAAGGAAAACTTTGTCAAACACTTTTTTGTTTATCCTGAAAATTTTCGTTCGACTGAAAAGGTAAAAAAAAGTTTAATATATATGTATGTATATTAAAAAAAAAATGTATGTACATATTTAAATTATAATAAATTATTAATTAAAACATAATTAAATTTTTTTTTTTATTAATTTTTTATTTTTTCTTTTATGTTTATTATTTAAAATCTTCATTTCTTTTTTTTGTTGTTGTTGTTGTTTATGCTGGAAAAATTTCTTATTTTATTAAATTTCTAAAATTTGCAAATTTAATTTATTTTAGATTTTATATTATTATTTTTTTTTTATTTTATTATTTTTCTCTTTCATCTTTACTGTATAATTTCTTTTCCTAATACATTTTCATACTATTAATAAGAAATGTTCAAATGTTTTTTTTTTCTATTTTTCATTCAAATTTTAATATTTTGAATTTATTTTTTTTAATAATTTTTATTACAAAATGCGAAAGAAAAATTGATGAGTACTAATTAAAAAAAAAAATTTTTTATTTATTAAGACAGAGTTTTGTTAAAAGTTACAATTAATTTATTATTTTCAAAATATTTGTTTTCAAAAATAAAATAATTTCAAAAGATAAATGTTTTTAATATTTAATTTCGGTTATAAAATATTAAATAAAAACTTGCTTTCTTGTAATATGCAATAAAAAACAAGCATACATAACAATATTTCAATATTTAATTGTTTTATTTTAAACTGAAATGAAAAATTTCAAGACATTCAAAAATTAAAAAAACATTCTTTAAAATAAAATTAGTATTACATAAATTTGTAAATTTTTCTGCTCAAAAGAAAATTGTATGAAATTTGATTTTAAATTTTAAAATCATTTGAAAAAAAAAATTAAAATTTAATTGCAATAATGAGGAAAATAATGAAACACCAACTAAAAAATTTAAAATTCAAAATTTAAATTTTCATGTTTTTAATAAAAACTGGTTTTTTAAAATGTTTGTTAATTTAAAATTATTTCAAGTATGTATTCTTATTTACAAGATATATTTATTAAAAACTTTTCAAACATTTTTTTTTATTAAAAATCAAAAAAGCAACAATTTAGTGCATTGACTTGAAAAAATATTCTTTTTTTTTTTTATTGTAAACATACATAAAAAAAGAATTCAAATATGCCTTTAAGTAGATAAAATATTTACTGTAAAAAGAATAATTTACTTTACAATTATATTTATTATAAGGTTGCTTTCGAAAAGTTAAGAATATTAAAATTCGCAATTATTAAGTAATTGTAAAAGTTATGTACATAAAAGTTATTCAAGAGCCATATTCCACCAACTACTCTTACTTTTTGAGGCAACAAAAACTTTGCAAATTTTTAGTTTAATTAAAAATAAAGTAGAAAATGGTTGGTGTAATAGGGCGCTCATATTGTAATTTTATAGAAATTTAAATCTTTTTCGAATGAAATGATTTTATAAATAATTTAATATGAAATTTTTTAAATAGTATTATATAAGAAATAAATATTAATAAAATATTACATATTTTGTGTATTCATACAAAATTGTATTCAAATAAAATACAAAAAAAGCAAATTTTTCAATATTATATATCCATAAAATTTCCACAATATTCATACTTTATTTGAAAAATGCATGCTTTCAAATATTTTGATAAATTATTTTTCTTTTCATATTATAAAATGTATTAATAAAATCTTGGATAGCTTATTGATTATTTAAAAAAAAAATTTTTCTAAAAGTTATCGAATTTGGAAACAAAAACAGTACTCATCTCCTATATCAAAATCAAAAAAAAAAAAAAAAAACACGCTATTCCAGATTTTTTTTTATTTATTGTTTTTATTATATTATTAAAATCTAGTGAATCAGGAAAGGTGTAAGGGAGGGCTAGGTAGAATGTGGAAAAAAAAAAATAGAACTTAAACTCAAATTTTACATTATTAAAACAAATTAATTGTTAATTTACAAAAATTTTTTGCTTTTTTTTTTAATTTTTTAATGATTTTTTTTTTTATGTTCAAAACTCTGCATTCATTGAAAATCTAATTATATATTACTATGTTCTAAAGTTCTTATTGTAATAAAAATTGAATTTTTCTTTTATTCTTTATAATATTTTAAATGAATACAATAATATATTAATATGTATATAATCATATATATATATATATACATGTAATTTATATTATAATATATTATATACCTATATATATATATTTTTTTTTCTTTTTAATAATTATAAATTTTTTTTTTCAAGAAATGATAAATAAGTAATATGTTGTTATTTGCTTTTTTTCTTGCAATTTCTTTTTTTTTTTAAATAAATTTTATGATGGCAATTTATAATAGTGTTTTTAAAAATTTATTTTGTTTCTTTTTTCTGGAAAAGACGAAAATGTATACTTTTAAATCTGGTTTAATACAATCAAATTTTTAAATATTTTTATAATAAATTTGAAAAATATTTTTTTTATTTTCGTTTAATTTGTTATACCTTGTAATTTTTTTTTCTTTTTTTAAGCTTGAAATTTGCAATTTACATTTTTTGATTCTTTTTTTTTCTACTTTACTAATTTTTAATACATTTTTTAACAACATATAACTTCTTAAATCTTAGTTAAAAGATTAATTCTTATTTATTCATTTATTTTCATCTTTTAATTTTTGTTTTTTTTTTTAATTTGAAAAATAAAAATATTATAATAGTAATAATATGTTTATTTGTTGTGTTACTAAAATATAAATTTTCTTTTATATTCAATCGGATACGCTAGCTTGTCGTTTCATTGATTTAAGTGCTCTTTCACGTAATTGTTTTTCTAAATCATCATTAGGTAAAGTAGATGTACTACGTTTAGTTGGTATGGATTTTTCGTCATCATTAACGTTATCATCACTATCAGAACTATCAGAGCTATTATTATTGGCTCTCTTATTCTTCTTTTTATGTTTCTTATGTTTTTTATGTTTTTTTCCATGTTTTTTGTGTTTTTTATGTTTTTTCTTCTTTTCAATTTCAGAATCAGAAGAGCTATCGCTGTCAGAAACTTTTCGAGATTTTTTCTCCTTTTTACGTTTTTTCTTTGGAGCATCCGAATCGCTACTATCAGAAGTTTTCTTTACTCGTTTACGATTATCTTTTGTAGCATTTGTTTTAACTTTTGCAGGAATAATTTCATCTTTAAGTTGTTCTGATTTATTTTCCAATTTCTTTTTCTCTGTAAGTTTTTCGATAGAACGAGAACGTGCAGGTACAGCAGGAGCACTTGATTGATTTTGTTTTTTTTCTATAGTTTTTTCTGAGCTTGTTGATATAGCAGCTTTGTCATTAGACTTGGTTTTTTTCAATTCAGACACTGCATTTGCTGCTTCACGATTTTCCGTTGACAATTTTCTTTTAAATTCAGCAACAGCTGCACGTCTCTTTTCCTCTAATTCTTCTCGTTTTGATTTTTCTTTTATATGTCCTTTATCTTTGTCAATTTTTCCGTCCTCCTCGTTTGTTATCGATTTTGTTTGCGATTTATTTCTTGATGAATTTTTATCAATTTTACTCCGTTTTTTTGATTTTTCATCATTATCACTTTCAGATTCAGAATCAGATGAATCGTCAGAAGAGCTACTTGATTCTTGTTTCTTCTTACTGGTACTAGCATTTGCGGTTGTATGTTGAAGCGCTGTGGCGGATGTTGAATGTGAATTAGAATTAGATGCGTTCTGTGGCTGTGAATTAATTGCTGTTTTTTCTTTATTTTGCTGAGCTAGTTTTGCGGCTAATAATTTCTTTTCTCTTTCTAATTGCTCACGTTCGTGAGGTTTTAAGAATGGTGATGGAGTTCTAGAAAGACTTGATGATCCAGAAGATTCGTCATCGTCCTCGGACGACTCTTCAGACTCAGATGAACTTGAATAACTTCGCTGCCTCTCGGTTTGCTTTTCTTTACTTACTGACTTTTTACGGTTCCTATTAGTGGACACATCAATTTTTCCAGTTGTAGTTTTGGAACGCTCTGTTGAAGACTTTTGCAAAGGACTTGCTTTCTTTGTTAAACTAGGTTTTCTGACAGGACTTCGTTTTCGACTTGAGCTTCTTCCTTTATTTACAAATTCAACTGAGCTATTTCGTCTATCTCTTTCTCGTGGACTTCTTTTACTTTCAGAAGAACTATCCCAATTTTCACTATCGTCACGCATACCTCTAGCTGGTCTTGCTTGTTGAGGTTTTTGATCCCATCGATCGGACGTTCTTTGATTAGTATTTCTAGTTGGCGAGCTTTGTCTTCGTGAGGAAGAAGGTGAAGAACGTCTTTCTCTAGAGGACATACGTCTTTCCCTTGATAGTTTACGCGGTGGAGGAGATTCTTGCCTTCGCGCTGGAGAAATTTTTCTGTTTGGGGAACGTCTATCTCTTATTGGAGACACACGTCTGTCAAATGGTGAAGATCCCCTCCTTCTTGGAGGAGATCGACGATCAAATGGAGAAGAACGTCTTCTTTGTGGTGAAAATCTCCTCCATTCTCTTGGACTTGGACTACGTCTGCGATTGAAAAACGTACCACGATTTCCTCGGAAATTTCCACTTTGCATATTTCGCGATTGTCCACCGCGAGCCGGAGACCGTCGTCGGTTCACCCTAAAATAATTTCATCATTAAAAAAAAGTTATGGCAAAGGAAACTATAAATTTAAACTAATTGAATGTAAATTACCACCTAGGTGATCTTGACCTTCTTCTTGGCGATCTAGACCTTGATCTAGCTCTTGGAGATCTCGATCTTTGTCTTGGAGTTCTTGATCTGTTTCTTCTTCCACTTCTTTTAGGACTCCTTTCTCTAGACGAAAAACGTCCTCCTTGATTTCTTTTATTTTCTGGTCGCCGAGATTCTACACGTTCTGGAGAATCACTATCTGAAGTGTCCTTATTCGTTCTGTAGTGGCGTTTATTTTGAACACTATCAGTTTTCTTTTGAATTTCAAAATCCTTATTACTGTGTCGTGATCTTGATCTACTACTCCTTGATGTTCTTGATCGTGATCTTTTATTGTTTGACAAAGGTTTCTTTTTATCTGCAGATTTAGATCGTGATCTGGACAAAGAAGAGCTTGATGACCTGGTTCGCCTTGATCTTTTCCTATCAAGAAATATGTTAAATGTATTTTAAAAATTGCATATATTATTTTACTATTTAAATAAAAATTATTTGTACAAAACTTTTTTTACCTAGATCTAGAACGACTCCTGCCCTTTTTATTTGGAGACCTAGACCTGCTGCGACTGCTTGAGCTCCTAGATCTTCTTTCCTTGCTCCCTCCAGCAAGATTTAATAATTTTTCTTGAACTTTAGATAGCTTTTTGGGCTCTATAGCTGCTGCAGCCGCTATGGCTATAGACGTGTCAGAAATGGTTCCATTTGGACCACCATTAAGATCAGGAACTAGAGTGGGCGATTTTTTCCTTTCTGGACTAGCATCATATTTTTGTTTAGAATTATAATCTTGAGATTTTGACCTAGACCTTCGCCTTTCGTTGCGATTTCTTGATCTTGACCTTTCTTTTCGTCTTGGGGATCGCCTGTTAGAAGTTTTTCGATCTCTTGATCTAGTTCGACTACGTTTAGATCTACTACGCTTTCGCCTATCGCGTCTGGGAGATCTTGACCTAGAACGCTTTCTATCTCTTGATGAGCGTTTTCTTGGCGATGAACGCCGTGCTGGTGATTTCTTAGTTTCTTTATGTCTATTTGGTGACTTCGTTCGACTTTCCTTATCTTTCCCATTATCTGACTCATTCAACCTTAATGTCAAAGTATTTGTGTTTTCTTTTTCTCTGGATTTGGATCTAGTCTTCACTTCCACTCCTAAATTATTTTCATCTTTTGAATCACCTAAAGTTTCTTTATTTTCTTCAGACTTCTCTTGAACATTGGGAAAAGTTTCGTTATTAAACGAATCATTCAATTCACTATGACGCTTATCATTAGTTTCTTTATCTTTAATACGGTCTTGCGATCGTGCTCTCTCTTTATCTTTATCCCTTTCTCTTAGACGATCCCTGTCCCTACTGCGATCCCTACTTCTATCTCTTTCTCTATCTCTACTACGTACTCTATCCCTACTTCTATCCCGATCACGATCTCTGCTCCTATCTCGGTCACGATCCCTTTCACGATCTCTGCTTCTGTCTCTGTCTCTATCTTCATCTTTTCGCAATAGTTCCTCTTTTTTTTGATTGATGAACTCTGGTGGTATTCCAGTTTCTGATTCTTGAGCTGCTAATAATAAAGCCCATAGCTCGTTCATAAATTCTCTTGCATTACGTCCATTCAAAAATCCAGTCATATTAATTTGCATTTTTTTAGGACAAGGAAATTTTTCTTCTTCAAGTTGGTTATAAACAAATTCTACTACAACATCATCTTCAATATGTAAAAAATCTGTGATTTTCTTACTAATCCACGGTCGTAACACGTCCAGTTTGACTTTGGACATATCAACTCTTTTATTCAAGCTGTCACCGAATTTCATTTGCTTCATTAATTTTTTTTCCTTATCGCTAAATCGAGTATCCTGTGCTTGTGTTGTACCCTAAAGTTCATGTGAGGAAAAAAAAAAGTAAAAAAAAAAAAGAAAAAAGCTCAATTATATCTACGAATATCTAAAATATATATTCGTGTAATTAATACCGGTGTACTTAAAGTATACAGTTAAATTGTGTTTTTATTTTGGTGCAAGTGGATTGAAACGCGACACTATCATGTAGGTTTAGAGAAAAGAGTTTTCGCCAGTTAGTGCAAATTGATTATTCAAACTGTGACAATAAAATTTAAAATAAAATTATTGTCATTTGTGAAAAAGTTATTAATTTTTTCTATATATATTGCTAAAATATTTCTTTAGATTTTAAAATCCTTTGACACGTATTAGTGAAATGTTATTTTTCACAACGAATTGTTTGACTAACATTTTGTTTAGTATTAATAAATAAAGCATGTCGTGAAAATTTATAACATATCTATGTATGTATGTATGTATGTAGGTGTTCGAATTACCCTGACAATTTCAATACATATTGTTAAATCCACCTGCGTTTTAAATATTCATCTTATTTTTCCCAATATTTTCTTTCATATGCATATATTTTATTTATATTATTGAAAAAATTATGAGTATGAGATTTTCAATTTATTGAAACATCATAGGTAAAATAAAATTTTTCCTGATCACAATTTAACTTGTAATAAACTGAACACGCCGGGACCGGCTTGGACATAAAATTTTTTTTTTAACTTACCGTGAACATCATTACAAGTTTTTTTTTTCTTATTTGCTTAAATGATTTTTAATCACTGAAATACTATTAAATGAAAAAGAAATAACAAACGGATATATACTTTCTAAATTACGAAGAATATTTCCAGCAAACGAAAATGTCCACCCCGATTATTAAAAGAATGGTGCTTATGAAATATTATACTAATTCGTTGAGCTAAAGCTCAAAATCTTATTAAAAGCATAAAATTCAATTTGTTTTACATATTTTTTTTAAAATATACGTTTTTAAATCAATTCAATTCTTTTGTAAAATTCTTTAAATGAGTTTTCTAAAATACTTTTTCAGCTCCAATTGAACGTAATGGCGGCGCGTCCACTGATAATTTGACATATGTTTGACGCTTTTAAAACAGTTAGACTTTTTATTCTTCTAATTTCAGACGCTTTGTAATCTATCTAGCGGAAAAATTTAAAACAAATTCCATATTTAAATATATTTACAAATTTTTTTAATAAAAATTACTTTATTCTCAATATATTTACTGTCAAATTTTTCAAAAGTGAAAATAAAATTATTTCGACTATAATTTTTATAGAAAATCATTAAATTTTGACATAAAATCTAAGCTCTATCTTACAATTTCGTCGCATATGTAAAGAGGCATAAGACTTTATCATAAATTAAATCTTAAAATTTTTCATTTTTAACTAGCAAGGATATCTAATTTCAAAGCAAGTTATCCTAGTTTCCTTGCCATTTGAGCTCATATTAAGTAAAATTTTAGTTTGTATAGAAACTTAGAATTAACTTGCTTATGTAACCGTTTGATTAATGATTGAAGTTTGCAAAGCATTTTGGAAATCCAACGTAAAAATTTTTTGCAAAAAAATGGCAGCCTGTTTTTAAAATGGAAATGCGTCGATGTATCCACAAATGTCAATAAATGTCATTTTAATATATTTAATTTCCGGTTGTTTTCCTTTCTTTTTTTATCTCAAAATGGTAAGTACGTAGTTGGATAGTTAGAGATCAATAAATTTTCAATCATCACAATTAAAATGTGATTTTTCTTGAATAAAAGTATTTTTATAATTTTCATCACGTTTCATTAAACATATTATTGAAGTTATAAAATTATTTTTAATCAACGATATTTGTAAACATGTTGAAATAAAGTGTGTGGAAATTTCCTGATATAAAAAAGGGTTTAATTTAATTTTAGGCAAGAGGTCCAAAAAAACATTTGAAGCGTCTACACGCACCAAAAGCATGGATGTTGGATAAATTGGGTGGTGTTTTCGCGCCACGACCATCAACTGGTCCACATAAATTAAGAGAATCATTACCATTGATGATCTTCTTGAGAAATCGTTTAAAGTATGCTTTAACCGGTGCGGAAGTTACAAAAATAGTAATGCAGCGATTGATTAGAGTTGATGGAAAAGTTCGTACAGACCCAACTTACCCTGCCGGTTTTATGGATGTAATTGCAATTGCAAAAACTGGTGAAAATTTCCGTTTAATTTATGACGTTAAGGGTCGTTTCACCACCCATTTGATTTCAAATGAAGAAGCTAAAGTAAGTAACATGTTAATAAATTATAGTAAACAATACCTAAAATATGTTGTATTATTTGTAGTACAAATTGTGCAAAGTACGTAAAGTACAACTTGGACAAAAAGGAATTCCGTTTATTATTACACACGACGGGCGCACAATTCGTTATCCTGATCCATTAATTAAGGCCAACGACACGATCCAATTGGACTTAGTTAGCAACAAAATAGTTGACTTCATTAAATTTGATTCAGGTTAGTTGATTAGAGTAAAAAAAAAATTGATTACATGTAAGAGACTAGACAAAAAAAATCGGAACGAGATTCACATAAATTTGTTAATTGTCGGTATAATTTATTAATGAAATATGCAGGATTCAAATTTGAAAAATTTGAAATTTATTTAAAAGTTATGGGTTAAATAAGTTTCAGAAACTCAAAAGTAATTGTTTATTGTATTTCATCAGCTGGTTACTGAATTAAAAACATTTATATGCAGTTAAATTGCAAGGTGCTAACTGAAATGTGTTCAGAATCGGTCAAGATATCTTTACAAATACATATTTGATTTAAATTTGTTAAATCGTTTTTGGAATAATATTTCATACTACTTGAAGCTTTGGTTATAAAGAAAATGTAAATGGCTTATCGAAGATCACAACAACGGTATTTAGTTATGTGGTTCAAACTAAGCCAAGATTAAAACTTAATTGTCGACGGTCATTGCTTATTCTTTTACTTTGAATTAGCAGTAACATTTACGTTCAATTAACAAATACCTACATATTTATGTTATATTAGTATACATATTTATTTAGTTTTTATTTAAAAAAAAATTAGTGACAATTTCTCCTTAAAGTTTTGCTTATCCACAAACAGAAATAGGCTTATCGAAGATCACAACAACGGTATTTAGTTATGTGGTTCAAACTGAGCCAAAATTAAAGCTTGATTGTCGACGGTCATTGCTTATTCTTTTACATTGAATTAGCAGTAACATTAACGTTCAATTAACAAAAACATAATTTATGTATATTGTACGTTATTAGTATAAAATTTTATTTACTTTTAATTTAAAAAAATAATGAAAATTTCAACAAATAAGATGTGCGCTCTTAAAATCAATAAAATTTTATTATTATTTTAGGAAATCTTTGCATGATCACTGGCGGTAGAAATTTAGGTCGTGTTGGTACTGTTGTCAACCGTGAAAGACATCCAGGTTCATTTGATATTGTTCACATTAAGGACACTCAAGGTCATGTATTTGCAACAAGATTATCAAATGTATTTATTATTGGTAAGGGTAATAAACCTTACATCTCATTACCTAGAGGAAAAGGTATAAAATTGAGTATTGCTGAAGAACGTGACAAACGAGTTATGTTAAAACATTCTGCTAATCAAAGATATTAAGCGAATAAACAAAACAAGGAAAATTTAATAGAATTGTGTTTTTTTTTTAAGTTTTTAATTCTAATTTTTCTGCAATTTATTTATATAAGTAGAGCTTAATGGTTTGTAAACTGTAATCAAACAATGTCGTTATTTTTTCATTTACTGTACAAATGACACATTTTTAAGATTCAAGTTTAATTTTTATATTTCGTTTTTTAAAAAAAAAAAAAACAATACATATACAGATTTTGATGTACATAAGACTTTCTAGTTAAAGTAGAATGAATTCAAAGTCCGGCGAGTAATCCTGTCCTAATGTGATCTTGGATGCGATCTCCTTTAGGTCTGTTATTCATTATTTTATTATGTGTAGGAGTTATAGCTAAGAGCAATAACCCAAAAGTTAAGAACTAGTAAAGAAAAATTAATTTAATCACTTACTTTGTTATGTATGTATGTTATTTATTATCTAAATTGTACTTACAAATGTTAGACGCATTTGTAAAATTTTCCCAAAAACAAGTTGTTCTTAAAAATGATTTTGATTAACTGATGAATTATAAAAAAAAAGTTCAATATTTATAAGGAATGAAAATTGAATAAGGTACGAATGTTTTAATTGGAAAAATTTACTTAGAGATTTTTTTATAAATTTAAATCAAATTTATATAAATACATATTTGCATTGTTATGTACATATTTACATACATTTCTTAAATTCTACGATTTTGCAATCTGTTTAAATAATAAAGGATCTACATCTAAACATACCTAGTTACTCTTTTGAAATTCATATAATGTATTTAATATTTATACTGCATAGCTAAGATAAATTTTTCTGGAATTCATGTTATTATAATTAAAAAATTAATTTTAAATTTAAAATTGATTTGTTTTGATATTTAATGAAGATATACAATGGTGGTTTCAACGAACGTCATCTTTTAAAGAATTTCCTTGTAGGAAAGGGGCAAAAACAAAATGGAACAGACTTAATAAATAAAATATTTGAAAGAAACTTTTTTCACATTTTAACACTTATTCTGTTTGTATGTTGTTTGAAATCAACATTACATCTATAGATTAGGGAATTTCATAGATACACTCCAGCATTTTAAATATTTCTTATTAAATATTGTAATAATTTGAGATTTGTCTGCATTATTTAGAACATATGTATTGCCAATTCTTAAATGGGAATTTGTTTAATTTCAATAAAAATACAATAAATACTTGGGTTGAAAATAAAATGAATGACCCGCAAAATTAATTTTTAATTTTTCAAAACTTTCAAGTATAGTAACTAAAAGGTTAAAAATATTTTACATAATTTAAGATTTTTCAAAATTAATATTTAAAATTTTTTTAAAATTTTTAGGTGCGCACATACATAAAATATGTATTTAAAAAAGATGATTCGAGAATCATTCAAGCAAAAAATACTCAAAATATTTTGATTCATTTTTTTGAAATATGGAAATCAAATATTGCATATATTTAGGATCTAATTTTTAGATTAGAACTCGAAAAGGTCTTTTTTTATTATTTTAAGATTTCTTTTTTGTAAATGCAATTAAAAATCTATTTTTAATATTATTAATAGATTCACTCCTCACTTGTTATCAAAGTGCATGATCCTAAAACTTTTTCCAAATAATTATGCTCAGTAATATAAATAATTAATCGAATACATTGGAATTATATATTTTAAAATTAATTGTGTTTTTTGTTAACAAAATTTTCTGTAATAACATAATTTTTAATATATTTAAGCAAGAATTTCTTAAACAAACTAAATTTAATTTGCATATTATGCACATACATATTTACAATACCAGCTAGAAAAAAATTTAAATTACTATTTTTATTTTGTAGAGCAAAATTGAACTAAACAGGCTTTCAAGTTCATTTGCATTTGCAAAAAAGTTGTCAAAGAAAGGTTAATTATACGGTTAGGAACAGCAAATTTTTATTTCACATTAATATTAAAAAAGCATAACGTTCACAATTATTCAATAATTCAGAATTATTGAAGAAAGTGACAAAACAGACTTTGATTTCATCTAAATAATGAAAATCTACAGGGTCAATTCTATTTAATGCTCATTATAAATTATAGTTGCTAAATTGGCATTTATAGCTGTTAGTTATTCATCTGAATTAAATTTTTCCTTTAAAATTATGAAATTTAATAAAAATTATTTTTATTAATTTAGGATTTTATTTTCAATCAATTAACAATAATCAACATTTCGTTCAATATATTTTAAACGTCATCTAAACTTCTGATTACTGTTGATTCAATTCACTACTGTTGAATGCAGAGCCTTACTTCTTACCAAATCCTTTCTGTGATCGTGGATGAACTTTTGCTGATGTTAGAGTTAAAGTTAAAATTAATAACGATAAAGTTAACAACTAAAATATTATAGAGAAAAAATAAAATTAATTTCAATTCAATTATGATAATTTATTTTTATTATATGCGTACTTACGAATGTCAAACGCATTTTGCTACGATTTTGTCTCAAAGGAAATTGTTGTTTTTCTTAAAAATGATTTCAATAAACTAATGAGAAATTAAAAAAATTTCACTATTTATAAAATCATAGAAATTGAGTATATAGAATATAGTGAAATCCAAACTCATTTTGCAAAAACAATTGGTTGTGATTAAAAAAATTTTAATTTTTATAAAATAAACAATTTATTTTTTTTTTTAAATTAAATATGAAAAATATTTTCATTTAAGAAATTTATATGTACATATAATATACAGAAAAATGAATATATATAGTTATGTGTGAATTTTGTTCTACAATCTAAAATTCACGCCAGATTTGAATTTTTCCAACCAAAAAAGAACAACGCATTTTTATTGTTGAGCAATATTTTGTAAATAATGAAAGATTTTCGAACAAAATCATCTTCAGCAATGGGGCTCATTTTCATCTTGATGGCTTTGTTAATCGACAAAATTTTCGCATTTGGGTTTCAGAAAATCCATAAGTGATTGTTGAGAAACAAATGCATCTAAAACGTGTTACTGTTTTGTGCGAACTTTCGGTTGGAGGCATTCCTCGGACCATTCTTCGGAAATATAGTTGGTCAAACAACAACGGTTAATGGTGCTCGCTAATGGTGCTCGTGCCAAAATTGCAAGATATGGATTTGGATGGCATGTGAAATCAACAAGACGGTGCCATACAGCCCGAGAAATAATTCAAATACTGCGTATTTCTCATTTCCTGGTCGTGTAATTTCCCGTTTTGGTGATCAGAATTGGCTGCTCAGATCATGCGATTTAACGCCGTTGGATTTTTTCTTTGGGGTTTTTTGAAGTCTAAGGTTTATGTCAACAAGCACACGACCTCCCACGCCTTGAAGGAGCAAATTAAGTGCTTTATCAACGAAATTTAGTCACATTTATGCAAAAGAGTTCGCAAAAAGTAGAATTATGTTCCTTTTGAATTTTTTTAATATGTTTAAATAAAATGAAGGCTATTGCATTTTATTCCATTAATTAACGAATTTATGGTTTGTAACAAAAAATACATCCATATTCGAATCGTTATACAATCTGTATAATATCAAGTATTAGTCTAAATTATATTTGTAGGTCCTACACAATCAGTAAAATATTTTTCTTAAAAGAAAAAAAAATTGATTTTTACAATTCTTAATTGCGCATTATATCGAAAACGATGTTAGCCCAACTGGATTTATTTTATTTCTATATTTATACAAAATAAATATGAAAAATAAAATAAAATTTTTTAAAAATAAATATTTGAATATTGATGTATTTTAATGCACACAGATTCAAAATATTTATTATGATTCTTTTTTTCTATTTTATATATTTTATATAATTAAATCTGATATTATAAGCTGCTAGGTGTTTCCATATAGCAATAAATTTTTATAAAAAATCTGTACAAATAAAATATTTTCAAAAATATTTTATTTTCTTTTTTGAAATATTTTCAAATAAATGAATGTAAAATTATTGACGACGGATTCTTGAAAAGAACCCAAATTGAAAGTCATGAGAAATTTTGGATTTAATATAAGAAGATGAAAATTAATTGTGAAAAGTTCACTGCACGTTTAATGTATATTGTTTTTAATAAGTTAAAGATTTTTGTTTTCCAAATTGGAATTAAGGCACCCCACCCTCTTTCATTTAATTCCATTCTTTAATTTTTTTAATTTTCTTCCTTAAAAATGATAAATTTTATAATGTAATGGAAATTTAGGCGCAAATTTTTAAAAATTAATTCGACTATCGATTCTTACTACTATTTGAAATAAAATTCTCGAAAAAATTTTCACTCAAAATATTATACAAATTTTACAAGCTACTTTACTACTAGAGAAAATTCAGTCAAATTTTGCATATATTCAGGATTAATTTAATAAGTTACATATCGCTTATTTGAATCAATATTGACATAACTCAAAAAAATACAATTTTTGAGTATTTTATATCGAAGTATTTCTCAGAAATAAGAATTTCTCTAGTTTTAAAAAATTGTTGCTTATAATAAATTATAAAAAAAATGCTATAATGAGAAAAACATAATTAACTTCAAAAACTTTAAAATTCTATTTTTTTTTTAAAGTGTATTAATTTTGAGTTATGTTGCAGCAAACAAGCAAATATGCATATGCTACATGTATGCATATTTAAAAGTGAAACAATTTACAAAAATTCTAAAATAGTTACAAATCAAATCTAATACAAAGGAATAAAATTAGAATTAAAATATTCAAAATTCGTTTTCGATTTTTACGAGGATCATAATTGAGATTGAAGAAAATTTCGGATTATTTTCAGCTGTTCAGCTTCTGTATAATCTAGAACTTTCAAGGGCAATAAGATACACAAATTCAAAAATATCTTAAAAATCTAAGACTAAAAGCTGGAAAATGTTTTCTTCCTTAACATATTTTTGGTATGATGGACTTATAAGTACAGAAAAATTAAGTATTTTTCCAGATTTTTGTTCATTTCAATCTAAAATTTGATATTTAATTTGTTCATAGTTCAGTCTCTATAACGTTGTTAAAACTTTAATTTAAATTTTATATGAAAATTGGAATTTAGATTGGCGATGTCTCAAAAAAATTTTACTTTTATGAATTTTTTGTTTATTATTTTTCAGAAATTTTTTACAAACATTAGTTTAGTAACATTTTTATTTTATTAAAAATATTTTATAATTTTAGTTTTTAAAATTAACCAGCTAATGCAGCAAGATATTTAGCTCTACGATTTTTCTTTTCTTGTTCAGTTAAAGGTTCTTTAGAAGGTCGTTTAGCTGTTACATCTTGAGTTAAAATCATTATTAATGCAATTGATATTAGAATTGTTAACCACTAAAAATAAATTATTAAAAAATCTTTTATTATAATTCAATATTACTAACAATTTTTAAACGCATTTTAAATTATTTTTCCTTTTTGGGAAGAAATCCAATAGTTATCTTAAATGTTTTTGATTAAAATGAAAATATGCGAAGAACTAAAATATTTATATTTAAAAATAATTTCAGATAATATTTTATATAAATAAATATACAACAATAAAATGAATAACAATAAAAACTTTTATTAAATAAATAATAACATTTAGTGAATAACAATGATTCCAGATATTTTCATGAATAAACAAAAAAAAACAAATTTTAGGTATGAAAAAAAAAATATTATTAAATAATAATTTTAGATCTAAGTGTTAATATTGTTGATATCGTCAAAACTAAATGTGGTTCTTAAGAGAAATGCTAGAAAGAATGTGAATGGGGTGCTAATTAAAATTATTACTAAATTGAAGATCTTTCTTTTGCAGAAATATGTTAGAAATTGAAACATGTTTTTTACCCTCAATGAATTTTCTTTGAAAACATGAAATTAACTTATTAAACACTTAAATATCATAATTGTGTTTAATGAAGCATTCAAACCTTAATTTAATTTTCATTTGATTGTGGTCTAGATTGTGGATTTTTTTAATTAAAAACCAATTTCTGGTTAAAGTTTTCGAAAAAAAAGATTTTCCGAACATATTTTTTTTTACAAAATATTTTGATTATGAACTGAATATAATATCAAAATTTAATTAGCTTAATTTCTTCAATCGCGAACTAAATGAACAAAATAAATAGTATGTATTGATAAGAGAAAATTTAAAGACAAAGTTACAACAATCCGAATCTCCTATCAAATTAAGGCAAATATCCATAAGACTTTAATCCTTAAACTAGTGAATAAAATATTCTTTTCTTTTGAAACTAAATTTCATAATTAGAGAACAAAATATATAAGGTAAGCATGTTTTTCATATGTATTTTAATTCTATAATTATTAAAAAAAGAAAAAAAACCAAAAAAAAAATTAAATTTTTGCATTTGTATTTATTCATTTTTTTCTTTTTGTTTCTTTTATTTTATATGAACTATGTATATTACATTCAAGCATAAAAGGCCATGCATATTTTGAGATATTTTTATAATAAATTTCTTAAATATTATCCGATAAAATATAAAACATATAATAATTCTTTTCATTTTCTTATTGTATTTTCATATTTCAATATTTTTGTTATTAGTAAAATTGTGTATAAAAAAGAATTCATAATAATATTATAAAGAATTTAACAATATGTAAATAATAATAATAAAAAAAAAAAAATTTTTTTTTTCTGTAAATTAAAATCATTTGATGCTTTTGTTTCAAAATATTCAAATCACATTCTCTATACACTACAAACTTTATATTTTATATTAATATTTCAAAAAAAAAAATAAAAATAAAATAGAAAAAACGTGTAAATTATAATATATTTATCTATATTTTATAACTTTGACAGTTTTAAAAAAAGAGTTTAAAACATTTTTTTTCTTCATTTTCACTTAATTTGGATAAAATTTTTCTTTTTTTTTGCTTTTTATAATTTTTATTCAACATTCAATTAATCTGCACTATCCATAATATTTATTGATACTTATTAATAATATATTAGTAATTAGGAAGGATACATTTTCTACGATTTTTTTGTAATTTTTCAATTCGTTCTTTAATTGATACTGAATTAGAAAAAAATTTTTCAATAGAATTAACAGCTAAAACTGTACCCAAAAATTGTCTCATACTAATTTCCCATTTATCATCATTAGTTGATGGAGGAGATGGTGTTGTATTCAATGATATTTTATCTTGTTCAATATTTGAAAATGATGAAGCAGCACTGGTACAAGGTATTCCACTAATAGATTCATTAAAAATTGCTCTTGAAGTATTGCCATTAGCATCAGTCTAAAAATAAATATGGTAATAAAAATAAAAAGGAAAAATCATATTTATAAAAAAAAAAAATTACCTCTATATTACCAATAGCTAATTGTGTAAAACTACCCAAACTATTACCACGACTTGTTCGATTTTGATTTTCTCCCATTTCAATTAAATTATTATCTAGTAAAATATTATAGTAATTATTATTATTGTATCACAAATTAATTAATAACTAAAGTACAAAAGATACTTACAAGCTATTACCATTTGTTCATCATTAACACCCATAATTTCAATTAAACTATTCCAAAGTGTTTCAAAATGTAATCTTTTAATATTTGGAATTGCTTTATATTGTTGTCCATTCATAGAATCTGATTGATCTAAAAAACATCTTAAACTACTTAAACTTTTTGTATCAGATGATTCTGTAGTTTCTAATTTCATTATATTTGAATCACTTATTTGAGAAAAATTTGATAAAGAACCACCATTTGAATGTTTATCCATATTTCGGGTTCCTAAATCACTTATATCTGAAAATGTTTCAATTGATTCGTATGGTTCATGACCAGAATTTATTTCTGGTAAATCTACATAAAATGTAGATGTTCTAGTATTTGTTTGTGGAAAAGTTGTATTTAATGTATCTGATTTTGATTGTGTAGCAATTGCACAATTATTTATTGAATTTTTATTAATATTCAAATTTTCCAATTCTTTTAAACTAAAATCAATAAAATTTGTATCAGCAGGAGATGGTAAGGCTTCAATAGATTCAGATGGATCATCATCACCGAAAAAATCTTCAGCTTCTATACCAACTTCTGTACCATCTTTACTTTTTTCTTGTTTTTTAGTTTGTTCAATTTCCGATTTTGTTAGCAAAGGTGGTAAATGAAGTATATAAAGTAATTTTAACTTATCAAAGTTTTTATTCGAGCAAACAATTCCAATTGATTTAATAACTTGATTAAAATCAATAGTACCTGTATTCCTCTTATCAGTTAACTAAAATTTTAAAATAATTTTAAAATTCATTAAAATAATAAATTAAAACTCTTACATACCCTAAAAAGTTTTTCAGCCAAATCAATTGTGACACACTTATTCCAATCTGTGATTTCATAGAATAATACTTTGTAAATATCAAAATCTGTTCTATAAGCATCTAACTTATTGTAAGGATCCCGTGTTTCAGTTGAAGTTTCATTATTTGGCAAAAGTATTGGATCTTCAATTGATATAATCCCCGATTTGTTAATATGTTTTCGACGTATAGTTTTTTCTTCACGAATAAGCATTAAAAATAAACGAAGCTCTTCTGATGTAAAAAATGTATTATCTTTAAAGTTTTTTATAATACTATTTTCGTTATCTATTTCAAATTGATGAATTGTTAAGCGACGATGTTTATTACGCAATTCTTCAATTCTTTGTAGTGAAATGAATTCGCCAAATTTAGTATACGCTTCATGTATTAAAGTATAAATTGATTGACTCTAAAAATCAAATTTAAAAAGTATTGTATTAGATATTGAAAAGAAAAAATAAAATACTTTTGGTTTCGGATCTGGCCTGTTCAAAGTCAGTTGATAATCAGGATTATGTATTCCTCCAAGGTAGTCACCCAATAATTGCATTGCCTCTCCATCATCTTTGCATTGTAATAATTTCTCATGATTCCATTCTAATATTTGAAGAGCAATCTGATAAAAAAATTTGTAAAGTCGAAAATTCTTTAATTTTTAAAATTCCTAAATTATTTTGCCAATTTACCAGAAAAATAACTTTTGCCCCGTCAAAAAAGAAGCAGTCAATTATATGTAATGCACTTTCGAATGGTATAACACTCAAAAAAATAGTTAAAAACCATGATAAAGAAATCATTTTAATGATACCTAGCTTGTCGAGATGCTTATGTAATTCAGGAATATATGTTGAAATAAGTTCATTTAAGACTCCCTGATCAATCTAAAAATAGAATTTGTTTTGAAAATATTAAAATGTTACGTTTGTCAAAGACATACTTGCGCTCCAACCACTTTATCATTATAGTAATCTGGCAATAAATTTTCACATAAGCTAGCCAACATCCAAAAAGCATTTTCTTCATCGCAATAAATTAGGAAAGCTGAGGTTACAATATTCATTGCTTGGCAATATCCAACTTGCGGATTTCTCAATGCATAAGCTTGTAATACTCTTCTCAAGGCATTTATTCCTTCTTTATTCTGGAAAGCTGGATGTTCTGGCAGTGATCTATGAAGATCTCTTTCAATTTCATCATGAATTGAAGATTGTTTAGTGGCCGACTTAAAATAAAAATCTTTTGAAAAAAAAAACAGAGATTAAACGAAATTTCTACTTTTTCCACTAAATCCTCATATAAGCCAGGGTTCATCTCTTTTTCATGTATTGCCCCGGAATATATTAACCAAACCTCTTGTCTTAAATCTTCAGGTATTCCTTGAACAATTAGGTTAATAATTTCAGTTGTTCGAAACATTGAAACTCCTCGACCAAAATCACGAAAATGTGCTTCCCATTTATTCACCTAAAATTATAAATTTTTTTTACTGAATCTCTACCTATGAGTAAAATAAATTTATATATTTATACCAATAACTTTTGTTTTAAAATCATATCATCGCTTAGACCATCAGTTTTAAAAGAATTCTTTAAAGCTACTTGTTTACTCCAAGAAATGTCATATTTTGCTCTTTCTTTATTCACTGGGCTAAAAAAACAAAAAATTTTCAGTACAAAATTTAAATTAATTTTAAGCTATTAAAAATTTTAAGCTTACATTTGAATTTTTGATAATAACTCTGAGATTTTTTGTATTAAGAAGTCACGATCATTAATATTTGAAAATTGAAAAGGACCATTTTCAGAAGTGGAAATTACAATTTGATTTTCAAATCTACTTGGCCCATCATCTTTTTTTTCTGCACTCTAAAATTTTTTGATTAACTAGTATTTAAAATATTATGACGGAAAATAATTTTTACGAAAGGTCAAATGTTTTACCTTAATAATTTTAAATGGAATAACCAAACTAACTAAACCTTTCACATCACTTCGAAAGCATAAAAAATTCGGTGATAAAAATATGAAACCAGGAGCATACCTTTTATTAAACGACATCCAAAGATTTGCTACAAATATAAAATTAATTTAATTTCAGTGTTTTTATATTTGATAATTTCAAATCTAACCTTTTATTTTACCATCTAAAATTTCATATATAGGAAGTCGAAAAAATATTTTGTATTCTTCAGAGTTTTGTCTTGCAGTTAAATCTCGTAATAAAATAGATTTTTTTGATTTTTTATTGCTTGCATTTTTTTTAAATGACGATATGTCATGATCAAGGACGGGACTATCAGGATCCTGTATTAATTGTTGCAAGGCCATTTTATTTAATTGCTCAACTAGTTTATATGCTTCATCAAATTTCAAAAATATAACGAAATTATAATCCATTTTATTTGCTGTTTTTAAATACAAATTTGCATTACCATACCGTTGGATATCAATTATTTCAGAAAATCTATAATCATTTTATAGTAAATTTAGTCATTGAATAGGAATTATTTATAACTTATAGTATATTATTTTTTATATTCACCTTATATTTAATTTTGTTTCCTTTCCCCACATATAAGAGTAAAAACATATATGATTTAAGGACAAATACAAATGACCTTGACGGGGTATTTTGTTTTTTACATAACTATAATATGAAAAATGCTTTAAAAATATATAATTTTGAATATTAAAATAAATTTAGATACCTACCTGCAATTGTAATAATTTACAAGTTGTTCTTCTTCTGGTAAATTAAAATCTTGTCGAAATTTTGTTGCTAACATTTTAAAATTAACTGAATCTCCGGTATCTTCAATCCCTTGATGATCGTGTGCGTATAATGATTGTATTTTACAAACAGTAAAATTAGTAATTTCCTCTTCATTTTCCATTTCATTAAGAACATTAAAAAGATATTTCTGTAACCATTCCCAATCTTTAAGAATTTCATCTTGTGTCAAACCAACTGCAATTTCTACAATTAGAAAAACTTGTATTATTTAAAAGACAAAAGTTTTATTAAAATATACAAAGTAAAACGTTTTTTTATTCATATTCGTATTTTTATATTGATTAATACATTAATGTTTTTACGGTCATCGATTTTGCTTTTTTACCAACCATAAGGTCAACTAAAAAACTTTTTATTATAAGATTGATTTATTGAAAGTTCAAAACGCAATTCTTAACAAGCCTGTTTTCAAATAATACAGATAAGAACATTTTTTTTTAAAGCAATCTTTTTAAAAACTAAACATATTGTATACTAGCTACGCTTATATATTTATGAATATTATTTTTATTAAAAAAAAAAAAAACAAAATAAAAAAAAAATAAATGAATCAGAGCAAATAAAAGCAATTCCCAAATGATTTTACTTAATTAAAAAAAAAATGATAAATGATAAAGAGAAGGAGATATATGTGTGTGTACCCAGTTTTATATTAATGTTTTAATAATTAACGAACAATGGTTAGATAAAATATAATATACATATTTATGACTGTGTATAAATGCATAAATTTTATATCTAAATCTGAATATATGTATGTATGCACAAATTTCAAGTCGCACTTACCATAATATACCTCAGAAGATGGTGTTTGATGAATAATTCTATAAGGTGGTGGTTTTTCAAATACACTATCGAATGTTCCTACAAATAAAGAAGACCAGGAATTTTGTCCATGGCCTAAACGTTTTTGTAATAAAAAATATTTTGATGTTTTTTCATTAACCCTGTACAAAAAAAAAAAAATTAATAAAAATATAAACAAAGACAATTTTTTTTTATTATCTGTGACGTAATGGAAACAAAAATGTTTTTTAAAAAATATTTACCATAATGCTGGAGGAAGTAAATGATCTTTTGGATGTATCCACATTTTAAGAGTTATATACCAAAAGTATTTCAATTTTACATTTATGCAGTATATTATTTTCTTAAAAAATTTAATTTACTTCATACTGTTTTGGAAATTATGTAGGTAGGTGGTTAGTTCAGAAAAAACTTTAATAAAGTGCCAAAATCATATGACAACTAAAATAAAATTCTTATTTTATTATATTAAGTGTTACCAGATGATTTAGTTAAAAAAATTATTTTCCGGTTAATTTCGTTATCGCATACTTATCAATCAATATTTAATTCACAATTATTTATTGTGAAAGTTTTAATTCATTTTAAACATGGTATGGTTCCAAATAATTATTTAGGTATTAAATGAATAATTTCAAATTTTTTTGGTACGGATTAGTATATTTATATTAGTATATTTATATTATCAGAGATTAGTATATTTATATTATGTAGAGCCATAAGTTGCATTGCTGACTATTAGGTAAATACCAACAATATAAAAATCGATTATATTCAGTTGTTACATAATAATTTATTTAATGCAATAGATAAATCCAATAAGGAATTTAGAATGCACTTTGAATTCTTAGAAATTTAGAAATATTTCATTTACCTCCTTAAAAATCTAACAATAACACATGATTGTGAATTTGTTGTTATTAAAAATATTGTTATTGTGAATACTAGACAAAAGTCCTGTAAAATAAAAAAATTGTAAAAATGTTTGTTATGAAAATTGTAAATATCAAATGACATTTAACCAAAACAAAGAATTAAAAATGAGTAAAAAATATTGTTTACATTGATAAATGTCAAGTTTGTTTTCATTTTCATTTGACATATTTCACTCAAATTTTAACAGATGGGATTGAGAGTTGAAAATTTGAGATAGAAAATAGAAAGAATTGAACTTTTGAAGGTTAAAAATATTATAAAAAAATTTTGCCATATATTTTCATACCAAAATAATTAAAAATATTAGAAACCTTAGATCGAAAAATACATTCGATCGATCTTATTATTAAGATATTAAAAGATAAACATTATGCTTGAAAAAAAAGATATGTAAGTTTCGCATGTAAAAATAATTTTTTTACCTACTACTTATGGCAAAAATTTTTTCAGAAAAGCTCTACCACCAAAACCCTTACTCGAATCAAGAAAAAGCAGTGTAGATGATATTAATTTAGATCAGTTTTTAAAAACAACTAATTATGAGGACACAGTAAAGCAATTGGATATATATTATGGAATCGGTAACTAACAAATTTTACTATTCATTATGTAAGAGAATATATACGCATCAACATTTAAAATTTGTTATTTTGTTATAGTTAAAAGGCAACTCTTACGTTATCAAAGTCCAATCACAGGAATGTTTCCTGTAATGTCAACAAATACGGTAAATTAAAAAATTTTAATAAAAGTTATAAAAAAATTTCAATTTGTAAAAAAAAAAATTTTGTGAATATTTTTGTTATTTAAGGATGTTGCTAGTGTAAGGGACAGTATATATTGTTGTGCTGCGGTGTGGAGTTTATGTAAGAAGTTTACAAGTTTATGTTATAGGTTTCAAATTATTTATAAAAATTATTTTACTGTAGATCAAGCATATAGAAGAATTGATGATGATCGTGGTAAATCTTATGAGTTAGGCCAATCAGCAGTCAAATGTATGAGAGGTATATTAGAATGCTGGATCAAACAGGCTGGAAGAGTTGAATTATTCAAAAAAAGGCAGAGTAATCAACATGCTCTTCATAGTAAATTTCATTTACATACAGGTAAATCATTTGGTTTTGAAAATTTTTGATCTTAAACAAAAATAATTAACTATTTTAGGTGAAGAAATTTATTCTGATGAGTTGTATAATCATTTACAAATAGATGTTGTGTCTCTCTATATAATATTTTTGGTTCAAATGATAACTTCTGGACTTCAAATAATTTATACACAAGTATAATGTCAAAAATGTCATAAAAATATTTAAAAATCAATTTTATTTTGGTAGGATGAAGTTGCTTTTGTTCAAAATTTGGTTTACTATGTCGAACGTGCTTATCGTACTCCGGATTTTGGAATGTGGGAACGTGGCTCTAAATATAATAATGGTACACCTGAAATTCATGCTTCTTCAATTGGTAATTATTATAAATAAATTAATAAAATGAAGAATAAAAGTCGAAATATATTTCACGTTACGGTATTTAGGCATGGCAAAGTCAGCTTTAGAAGCCATAAATGGATGTAATTTATTTGGTGAAAAAGGGGCATCTTGGAGTGTTGTTTATGTTGATATTGATGCACATAATAGAAATAGAAGTATTTTTGAAACAATGCTTCCTCGGGAATCAAGCTCAAAAGTATGTTAATTGCTCGTATCTTAAATTTATGAATTCAAACAAAAAATTTTAACAAAATACATTACTTTAATAAAATTTAATTTAATAAATTTAAATAATATATTAGGGTGTAGATGCCTCTTTGTTGATAACATTATCCTTCCCAGCTTTTGCCAGCCATGAAGAAAGGCTTGTTGATCAAACAAAATCTAATATAGTGAAACGATTAAGAGGAAAGCATGGTTTTAAAAGATTTAGCCGCGATGGATATTTAAGTCAATTAGAGGATAAAACAAGACGGTATTGAAAATAATAGATATATTTTTTTAATAATGTTGATTATAAACGATATCTTTTATATGATAGTTATTATAATAAAGGTGAAATTAAAGATTTTGAAGGTAACGAAGTTGAATGGCCAATCTTTTATGTGTTTATGATAATTGATGGAGTATTTAAGAATAATATTGAACAAATTGAAGAGTATCAATCATTATTAAGACGCTGCATGTATTTTGATCAAAATAACGATCCAGTTGTAACAACATTTTATTCACCTGATGGTAAAGGTTCTTATGAAAAAGCTTCAGCAAAAGCATTATTTTTATGGGGCCAAGCAATGTTTATAATTGCTCAATTACTTACTGCCAGTTTATTACATATTAATGAATTAGATCCAATAAGACGTTATTTACCAAGTTATAATCGCCCGCGCAAAGCAGGAAGGTATTCTGCTTTTCAAGTAAGTTATAGAATGTTTCTTTTTTTTTTTGTTTTTTAATAAATTATTCAAATAAAAATTATTTTCTTTGTTAAAATGTTTTGATAAACGTGAAAAGCAATAGATTTTACATTATGATTTAATGATATTTATTTGGTCTACCAATATTACTTTTAAAACGTTTATCTAGCATTTTAATGAAATTTTTAATTTTACTATACATACACATATGTATTTAAATTTGCGAAAAGGGGATAATAAATTTAAACACAATTTACTTTTGCAAAATGAAATAAAACAAAAAAATTTATGTTTTTATCCAGAGTATCAATTGAAAGAATAAATTTAATTAAATAAAATTTTAGAATATGGTTTTATTGTAATAATTCAGATAACCTACTAAGAACATCGACAGAACAAAATTTCGATAAAATTCAAAAATGCAAAATTTTCTAATATTGCAAAATTATTTTGCATAATATGTTTTATGTGAAAAATATTAGATTATTTTGTTGTGGGCATTAAAAGCATAATTAAAAATTCCACAATCTCATTAATTTCAAAATTAAAAATCATCAAAAAAAAAAAACAAACTTTGTATTGTTTTATTTTTTCTAACATAAAACATATTTTTCATTTATCTGTTTTCTTTTTTAATAATATTTAAAAGCAGAAATTTCATTATCTGTGCTAAATTGGTTGATATGGTTTAATTATAATTGTTGTACAATGTACGCACATTATTATGTATATGAAATAAAGATACGTATTTGGGTGATTGAAAATTTGGATTTTTTTTCAATTGAAATTTGGTAAAAAAATGAGGCTTTAAAAAATTTAATGTTATATGTAAAAAATCTTGTATGTATTTATATTACGAAGTAAGCAGGATCAAATGAAGTGTCAGTTTTCAAGAAATTCACTCTTATGAGAATTATTTATTTTTTGTTTAAATGGTATTTAATCTTGATCCTTCTTCCTTTTAATAATATAATTGTATATTTTATAAAATATAAATGTATTTAATTATATGTATGTATATATAAATTGTATTTTATAAATGTATATATTTTTTTTAAATATTTAAAATTCAAAATTTATATAATGAAATTAAATCCAAAAACAAAAACAAAAATGTAATTAATATTATAAAATACATTCTTATTCTTACCCAGGGTAAACCAGATGATGTAAGTTCTGATAAACTTATGATCATATATATATATATATATATATAAATAATTTGTGTATATAAATAATTTTTAATAAATAAGTTTTAATAAGCTAAAAATAAGAAAAGCAATGCAATAAATTTAAATAGTAATAAAAATTTTATAATTAATATTTTTAATTTTTTTTTTTTTTAGCAATTATATTTGTATGTTCATTTTAATTGTTTAACAATATTTTTTCTTTTAATACAAAAGCACTTTGAAAGATAATATGAAAAAATTTTTTAATAAAATAATTGAATGTTTTTCAAACTAATAATATTGTTTTTATATAATTTTTTAATGTAAAATGATAATTAAATTTATATTATTACACAATGTTAATAAAAATGTTATTTTTTAAAAATATTGGAATAAACCTTAAATATAGTTTTCAATTTTTAATAAGTTATAAATGTTATTTTTGTAAAAAGAAAATCGATAATTGTTTTTAATTTAAATAAAGCTAATCAAGTTAAAAAATATTTATTAAAAATGTTGATATTTTTCCGAAATAATTATGTAAAATTTTTAATTAATTAAAATAAAACTCCTTTTAATTCGAGAAATCAAATATTTATTTTTGCTAATAAATATTTCGTGCGCTACATATGCATTTCAATCAAAGCTGATTTTGTTCTCCTAGAAGTAATTCTGTAGCGAACCAAATATATATTAATAATTAAAATAATAATTAAATTAATAATAAAAATAAATATTAAATTCCGAATAAAAAGGAGTTTTCTTTTTATATAGTTATTTTAAATATTGAACTGGTTTTTTTGAAAGTGGTATAAGTCCACTTGTTAAAAAGGCTAAGTTAATGGTAATTTTAGTGATTTATAGACAACTTCTCTCCACTATTTACAATCAAAATTTCAACAGAGTTCTACGTAGACATAAAACTAACAAATTATGCTATTATGGCCAAAATATTTAAATTGATTCAAACGCAAGCCCATAAATATCTGAATATGTAAAGAAATGGACTTATACCACTTTCAAAAAAACCAGTTCTATTATACAATTAGAAAAAATTATTTCAGAGGTCAGAATAATTTTGAATTTTTTATCAATTGTTTTATTATAATAAGTATTGCAATAATTAAATTATTAATAAAAATGTTATAAAAATATAATATTAGTTTGAAAAACATGTTAAAAAAAATTTTTTGTTTTTAATTACAAAATTTTTTAATTTAATTTTTTGTCTAATCACTAATTATATTTTCATTTTATGTTTTTTTACTTCACCATTAAAAATATTAATTTAGTAAAAGAATAAAAATTTTTACAAATACTCCATATTCTATAAATCAAAACAAAAAAAAAAAAATGGAAAATAATGAAAATCGAATTAATTTATTTATTTTTCTAAAATTTCTATTTTTGTTTAAAAATTCTAAGGAATTATTTTTAAAATTTTTTATTTTCACTAATTCATCAACAGGCGAAACCAGGCACTGTAAGTCCTATTAAGTTTCCTTTTGCTACACAAAAAATTTCTTTAATTTTCTGTTAATTCATTTTTATTTAAATATTTATTTTTTTTTCTTATATACCCCTTTTACATATTACATGTTTTTTTATTATTTTATTATATTATTTATTTTAATTTTAAAAAAGTGTAGTTATTAAAAAAAATTTTTTTTTGGCATGATTTTAAATATTATTTTTTAAGAAAAATTCACTTTGTAATTCATATTTAATAGTTTTCTCATATTTCATAAAAAAATTTATTGTAATTAATATAATAAATAATATTTAATAGAAATTTTACTAGAAATGCATGCCATACCTAATCTTCTACAATATGTAATGGCACCATTTGTATTCTAAAATCAACAAAACAAAACAATTTTTTTTCAAAAAAAGGAAATTTTTGTTCTTAAAAATATTTTATAAATATTAAAATTTTGTATTTTTTTTTGTTTAACTAATAATTTTGTAATATATGTACGTATTTTTGTATATATACCTATATGTACATATATAAAAATATGAAAATTAACAAGCTTTTTTAAATCTTTTTGCACTCTTATGTCTCTTATATTAGTTAAATGGGTGAGTTTAATTATTAATTATTTTAATTTTTCTGTTTTAATTACATAAATTGTAATAAAATCCTCAAAATTAGAATTTTAATTTTAAGGTAGTAAAAATTTTAATTAAAATATAATATGATATTATAGTAGCGTATTTAAATTAATTTTATGTAAATAAATATGTATTAGAAATAATATTAAAATTATTTTAAAATTTTAATGTTTTTACTCAGTAATAAAGCTATTTTTTTTTTTGTTGAAATTTTAGGAATTCAATATTTATTACATTATGAAGAAATTTGTTTGAAATATTCTTATAAAACTCGGGAATTATACGCTTATATATGGATGTTGTAGCCTATATTTTAATTTTTTCTTGGAATATAAATACTTGCTAGGAATATACCAATTAGTAATGAAAGTTTTATGATGCAAAGATATTAAGATATCCAAAGATTTATCCGGAATGAAATTTATTTGAAAAATTGTTAAAGTATTCAAGAATCTCCGTCTGGAGCCGAACTTTATGAAAAATTGTAAAAATATTCCAAGATGATTGTCTGGAAAGCAATTTATTTGAAAAATAAATATAATATTAAATTACATATATCTATTTAAATATAGCTTAAATATTTCAACTATTAAAAATTTATTATTCTGTTAGTTGTCAATTTCTAATAAATAAATTGTAAATTAAATATTAATTGAATTTTTGGTATTTTAAATTAAATTTTATTGAAACACAAATTTAAAAGATAATTGAGATTACAACAATTTTTAAAAGTAGTCTTTCGGTTAATTATTTTTTATGATCTATGCATATCAATTGTAAAATATTAATGATAATTTTAGGTACATTTTATATATATTTAATTGCATTCTAAAAAATTTAATATTAAATTTATTAAATATGTAAATTAATTAATCTGAATTTGTTATTGATGAATATTACTAACTAATATGATTTTATGTAGTAATTTGAGTATTTGTAATCAATTTTTGGTCTGCCCTTTTTATTTCTGTTTACCATTTGCATATAAAAAATAAATGTTAAAAAATGATCTGTATTACCTTCATTAATAATTAAGATTTACTAACAGTTAACAGTAGAAAACTATGTTGATTTACCAGTAAAAGTTGCACAGAGCACGTGTAAATACCACTGATTATTGTATTTGTGATCAAAGAGTTATAATATAAACTAATTTATGAATTTTTTGAACAATAAATTAATATTTACTTCTAATATTTTAAAAATTAAAATTTTAAGAGAAAAATAATTTTCTTATTACATGTATAATTGAAAATTTTTTAAATGAAAAAAATCAGAATTGTTATTTACTATTGGTATCGGTATTTGAAGGTCCAAACTTAGAATGTCTTGGCAATTCAAACGTTTCGAGTTATAATTAAAAATTATAATTGAAAATTATAACTCGAAACAGTTGAAATTTGACTTGTTGATAAAGTAATAAATGATCATTTTTTAAATGCATTTTTTTACCTTATATAATTTATATGATTTTAGCCTATTACTAATAATATTTACCTGTAATTATATTACCCATGCTTATTAATAAAATTTAATTTTACTCATTTGTAGAATTGATTTTGATTTTCAATAATTATTATAGTAATTTAATATTTAATTTGGTGTTAATAATAAAAAAAAAATTTTAAAGGGAACAGCAACTGATTTAGTTGTTCAAATTGTATTAATTGCTGAATCAATGAGACTTCAGGCAATGATGGCAACATATGGTATTCAAACTCAAACTCCTCATGAGGTAAATTTTATAAATTCACATTTAAAATATATTCAAAGATTTCTAATTATTCCATATTTTGTATGTATTTAGGTTGAACCAGTTCAAATATGGTCATCAACAGAATTAATTAAAGTATACTCTCATTTGGGTGTTAATAAAAAAATTGGTTTAACTGGTCGTCCTGGTCGTCCAGTTGGTTCATTGGGTACCAGTAAAGTTTATAGAATTTGCGGCATGACAGTTTTAGCTTATCCTTTAATATTTGAAGTTTCTGATTTTTATCTTTATCGTGATATGGCATTATTAATTGATGATATTAAAACTGAATTACAATTTGTTGGTAAATATTGGCGTTTATCTGGTCGTCCAACAGTTTGTCTATTAATTCGTGAGGAACATATGAGAGATCCACAATTTAAAGAGATGTTAGATTTATTAGCAATGTTAAAAAAAGGTTATTGCGATGGTATTAAAGTTCGTATTGGACGTTTACAAAATTTAATATCAAGTTCCTGTATAGGTAAAATTCTTTTATTTGAAAACAAGAAAGAAAAAATTAATATTTATAATTTGTTTTTGTTTTTAGAGCATTTGGACTTTATAAATCAGAGTGATATGCCAGAAAATGAAAATGCTTTTGCACAAATTAATCATGAATATATTGGCTATCAAAGTTTAACAGATGTTCCTAAAGCACAAAATTATATGGAGGATAAAGTTAACTTAGATGTAATTATTAAAATTTGTTGGAATCTATACAAATTTAATGTTATCTATTTTATTATTATTAATTTAGAGTTTCAAAACGAAACCGACATATGATATTGTTGAAACATTACGTAAAACAGAATCAATTTATTGTCAATGTCAGTTATGGGGAATGTTATTACATCGTGAAGGAGCTAATTATGAAGTTAATGGTTTGACAGTTGATCAAGCATTACATCAATTATATAATCGATCTGGTACATTAAGATATTGGAGAGCTGTACGTTATTGTAGCTCTTTATTACGACATATTGTCGATTCAATTAGTCCATTTATTACAACAGTATTAGTAAATGGCAAACAAATTACAGTTGGTGTTATCGGACAAAAAGAAACTGTATTTGATAAACCAATGACACCTGCTGAAATTCAAGATGTAATGTATACACATGTTCAACCATATGATGTTATTCAAGCAGTACTTCAACAAGAAGTTGTACTTTATTGTGGTCGTTTGATTGCTACAAGTCCTGATATGTATCGTGGCATATTAAAAGTAATATATTTCATATTAAATGTATGTTTAATACAAAAAGTTATTTTTTGTTTTTAAACTATTTATAGATCCGTGTCGGATGGGTTTTAGAAGCTATGAGAATTTATTTGCAAATTTCCGGGCAAACAAATGTTGATATAGATAATCTATCACCTTTCCAAATTCGAGTTTTATTACAAAAAGTTTTAACAGTTCGTGATTGGGCTGACGATGAAAAGTATGTTTTTAATTGTAAAATTTTAAGCAGATTTTATTATATATTAATTTTTAGATTAACAATATTTCAAAGAAGGCAGCTAGAAGGATGTCTTTGCCGTGTGCCAAAAAATTTTTATAACATGGTTTGGGATATTTTAATTAAAACACCTCAAGGTATCAAAACACAAAAGTATCATTTACCTGCATCACCAACTTTAACAAATATGAGCCGAGGAGAGCTGTCATTTTCATTACTTGTTGAAGAGATTTTAATTTGTATATCGAAACCTGAAAGAAGGCAAATTATAGTTGAATTGTTATGCATCATTGCAACTATTTTGAGCAGGTAATATATTTTATTTTTGATTTAATTCGATTTGAAAATACTTTTTTTTTTATAGAAATCCCGAATTATGCTTTCAACAGCCCTTAGATTTGGATGAAATTTTGCATGAAGCTCATATAATGCACCGTAAAGTGAGTAATGAAGTGCACAATTGATTATTATTTTTTTAATAAATTTGATTTTGATATTTACTATAAATTACTTTATTTTATTTTAGGATAATCACATGGAAGGAAAAGATGATGATATGAGTGCATTGTATACACTACCATATTCTGAAACGATGGGATATTTAGCTCGAGCTGCTGTCAATAAAGTTTTACAAGGTGGTGTATTAACAAATCTTGAAGATGAATATCAAGACGAAGAAGCTTGTAAAATATCTTAAGTTCATGGAATTCAATAAAAATTGTTTCAGTTAAAATTCATCATTATTGTTACATCTTGTTTTTGAAATTAAAACATATTACTCGAATTTATTTTTTTTTTTATAAATTTATAGATTTTATGAAAAATTAGCCAAATATTTTTGTATATACATAAGTGTTGCTCTCAATTAAACTTATTAGTTTGAAATAATTTATTGTTGTTTTTATTACATTCAAATTTTTTTTAAAAATTTTAAGTTTAGGTCGTAAACACGGAAATAACATCTTTGGAATTTTGATATTTTCTAATATTAAAATTATGATTTTAATTAAAACAGTAATCATGAAATATATTTCATAGTCTTCAAGGAAAATTTATTGATTTAATTACATAATATATTTTATTAAATTTTCTTCAAATAGAAAATATCAATTAGGTGATTTTGAAAATGGAAAAGCATTTTTAATATTTGGTATGAAAAATTTAATTGTTTTGCTTTTTATTTTTAATTTAGTTGTTTATATATTAAAAGTTTTCATAGTAGGGCGGTCTTAGTTATTATAATAATATATAAATTCGACTGTAAGGTATTTGCAATTTTACAAAGCAGAATTGAATAAATTTTCAGGGGGAAATTACAGAATTACAAAAAATTCATTTAATTGTAAATTGAAGTTTGATTTATTAAGTTGAAACTGCAAACATAATCCCAAATTTGATCATATTTCTCTACAAATTTATCATTTATATTAAAAATAAATTCAAATTTATAATTAATCAGGCTATAACAGAGATATTTGAATAGTCTGACTAAAAACAGAGCTCTAATATGTGAGAGCTTTGGTAATAACAACTTTTAGTGAATAAGTGGGTCGGAAACCTAATTAATAAATTGAAATTTTATTTTGAAAGATCTAATGTTAGAAAATTGGAATTGGTTTTGTTTACAAAATTATCCTAAAAATAAGTTTCTATGGAAGTTAACATCAATTTGGTTGTTACGTTATAACATTAACAAAAAAAATATATTTTTTTTTCCATAACTTGACTAGAATAATAAAATGAAGATACTTTTACATAATAAAAAATTTAGCTATTTTTATTATAATTTATATTCAAATTTTCGCTTTGCATTTTTAGACCTTATCCTTTATATACTTTACATCGTTAAATTGATATATGGTAAAATTTTGCTAAATAAAGTTTCTTACTTAAGTCTTTTGTTCACAGCATAATTAAAAATCAAAATTTAATCGAAAAATATGTTGTAATTGTGCTCAAATTAATAAAAATAAAATTTTAATTAATATTTAAACTAAATCATAATTACCGTCCATAATTTGAAGCGTCCTTTGTAAGTTCACTGCGACAGTAAATTCTAGCTCAATTATATTATTTTGTGTTAGTATAGCAAAAATATCTCTATAAGTTTGTAATTTAAAAATCAACTGCTTTAACAAATTACATATTTGATTCTATTTATTTTTATAATTTATTGAATTTATATATTATTTAAATTTAAAATATGATTTTAATTAATAATTATTCTAATTTTATTTTTATATATTATAGTTGAAGGAATTTATTTTTTAATTTATTTAATTTTATATATAAAAGTAATACTCATCCAAATGAATTTTCAATATCATATAAAATTTATGCTGAATCATTAATCGATAATCGACTCAAAAAATTTTATACTAATGTTAATGAAGATAATAATAATGTTAATTATAATGAGCATGATCATAATATGGAAGATAACATTAATGACAATGATAATATTGAAAAAGAACATATTGTATATGAAAATGAAAAATTAAATAAAAATCAATTAAAATTTAATAAGATTTTATTTATTAATGAATATCATAGTATTATTTACGGAACAAATCTTTTCCAAATCCGAACAAATAAATCAGTCTAATAATAATAATGATTTTCAAAAATTACCATCAACAATTATTTTAATGAAAAATTCAATACTACAATTAAGAAATTAAAAAATAATATCGGAATAATTTGTGGTAAAAAATTAATTAACATTAATAATGAAAAAAAAATTGTTATTAAATTGTTTATTTATTTATTATCATCATTAATTGCAATATTATTAACATATAAATTAAATATAAATAAATTGAATTCATCAACAATTGACTTTATTAATGAATATGGTGCAAAATTCAAAAAAATTTTTACAATTAATAAAATTAATATATTAAATTTATTTTTAAATAATAATATACCAAAAATACAAATGAATTATACAATATTTAAATCAAATTGTTATAAAATTTCAAATAGTTTTATTAATAATTGAAATGAAAGTATATTTGAAAATTATCTACTATATTATAATAATTTCTTATTATTAAAAAACTCCAATATTTAATTGTACAATTTATATTAAAAATAATATCTATTATATATTTATACCATTTTTATCTAATCCAAATGGTTTTATAATATGCAATATTGGTAAATCAAATGTTTTAATTATTTGAAAAATTTTCACCTATGGCTATGAAATTATGAGTAAATTATGTGCAATAATCATTGTATTTGAATAATATTTTTGGAAAAAAGCTAATATTTCTGGAACTTTTTCCGTCAACTTATTGACCAAAAACGGACTAAGTGTCCGTGATTCAAAAGGCACAACTCTCCGAAAGATATTGTAAATTTAATTATCTAATGAAAATTTAAATCAAATTTTGTTTTTTTTTTTTATTTTTAATTGAAAATTTTAAAGTTAAATATTTTGAATACATATTGATTAAATTTTTTGCGCACTTATTGTGAATATTTTTAAGAAAGAAAATGTCAATTATACAAAAGCGAATAAAATTGTGTATTAACTCAAAAAAAAATAAATCGAATTCGAGGAAATTGCGCAAAACTGTTTATAATAAACATATATAAATAAAATTATATATGTTTGACATAAAATAATTCCAAATCAATTTTCGTTATGAAATGAATTAATTTTAGATTATAATTTATATTAAGTAAATGAATATTTGAAGTTTTAAAATTTTCTTGAAACCTGACAATTCGCCTGTTTTTTGGTTTAGTACACTTTCGTAGCGATGTGATGTGAAATTTTACTGATTATTTGTTATTGTAATTTTGAGTAATTGTTACTTAATTTTTATGTAATTTTTTTCTATATATTAAAATTTTAATAAATTTAATTATAATAATAAATAAAAATAAATTAAACAAATATTTTAAAAGACTTGAATTAAATTGAAAAAAATTACGAAAAAAAAATAATTTTTCAGAAAGTATCGAAAAATTTATTAACAGATAGAAAACTGAATCGAAAAATCGAATTTTGCACTACAATAAATATTTTCTTAACACACATACATACATATATTAATATTAAAAACTAATTTTCTATATTGTGATTTAATTGTGACTTTTTTTAACAAAATATTTTAGTTCAAATTAATGTGATCAATAAGATTTATTTAACAGTGACATTATTAATATGAATTGAATTGTATAAATATTGCTGTAAAGTATTTATATATCCTTAATAATCCAACAATACATCATTTAATCGTATTCAATTCTGTAATTCTTTAAACATTAAAAACATCGAGTATGAAAAATTTAAAACCTGAAAAAAAAATTATTTAAAATTTAAATAATATTTCGTATTAATAAATTAAGTTACGAAACCTTCATAAAGGTATTCAAGTTAACTGGTATCCAAGCAGCATTTATATCAAAGCACTTTTGAGATCTCTGCATAAATATAATGAGTGCTTTACGAAATTTTTTATCTTTATTTATCCAGTTCGAAGAAAACAATGCATTTGTTAGTTTCTCGCTTTCGGTTTTAAGCATATCAACAAAAAAAGATGTTAAAAATATTTGCTGAAGTAGACATATATATAGACAAACTAAACTTGTTAATTCAGAACTTGAATTTTTTATTTGTAAAGAGTATAAAGTTAAGAATGTCAAGCCAATAATTGTTGTTGTATATTGAACAAACATTTGTCTAGCTACAAGTTTCCTCATTATATAAAAATATCTATAAAAACAAATAGAAAATTACAAATGTTAAAAATTATTTTGTTAATTAAAAGCTAGTTATACTTTTGTAAAATTCTGTAAAATTTAATGCATTCTCTTAATTCCGAATAAGCTTTTTTGTTTGAATTTTCAGAAATTTTTCCAATTTTCATCAAAAGAACATGAAAATATCCTTTTAATATGTAAAGATACATTGGTGTAAAAGTTTCTACCAAAGTAAATATTAAAGCGAAAAATAAAGTCGTCATATGACTATGAAAATGTACAAAATAAAACCGTTCACTTGAAGTCATTTCAATTGGGTACCAGGCATCTACCACCAATTTGTGAGAGCTGTTACTGCAAAAACAAATGATTTCCTTGCAAACTACATTTATTAATGATATTAATGAAATTGCTTTAAATAATTGATCACAAATTTTAAAAATTTTATTTTTTAAATATGCAGTTTCAACTTCCCCAATACAATCTTTTACAATTGATAGCAGCTTTGGAATTTTTTTCAATTCATTTTTTAACTTTAAAATCACAAAGCATTTATAACAACAAGTTAAAGCTGTTACCCCAATAGCTACGTTTTGGAAAATTGCCGTTGCATCATTTTCCATGAAAGGATAAAGTATAATAGCAATCGGAAGATACAAAACGAAAACCCAAAGAAAAACTTGCAAGAAGGAATAAACGATTCTTTTACGAAGAGTCAATTGAAATGATTGATCAATTCCAAAAAATGAACATAATTTCCAAATCCATTTTACTGAAAACACATCCGCCAAATCCATTTTGCCTTGAATATGAAATAGAACTAATATTTTTTACTTTTGAAATTTATAATTTCCATTTTTAAATATTGCACAAAATTTGCTTGGAATTTTACCAGATGTTACTTTATTGTTTAAATATTTAAAAATATATACACTTTTAATATAAAAACAATAATTACGTGTTCTTGTATTTATAAAATATAAATTTTATTGTCAATTTTAGCGTTTAATTCCTGAATACTGTAGGAAAGAAAATTTAATGAAAATTTGTTTAAGAAGGCATTTCTAA